CTTTCCTTTATTGCCTCCCACCCCCCCCTTAAGTTTGTTCTCCCTCACCAGAAATCACATTAGCCAAACCAATCTCATTTACAACATGCCATTTGTTAATTTAGGCTTCTTGCTTGATGGCCACAGCTTGGGTTTGTATGTTAAATAGGGCACGAGTGTGAGAGGAAAAAAGACGGAGAACAATGTAGGTAGGAGGAGGGTAGAAAAATGAGAGATAAGAGCAGGACACATGTGCGTGAACATTATGAAGAAAGAACGATTATTAGATTAATCACCATGACTGCAAATATCAGCGGTTCACGGGGGCTTCGCTGCGCCTCGGCACTAATTAGTCAGTCAACTACTTCATTGATTAACTGATCGTTTACTCCGAGACGCCGAACATAATTAAAAAAAACACAACGGAGACATTTTAAACAGTAAAAATTCATCTCAGCCCTAAAAAAAATCAGATTACTTCTTACAAAGAACAGCAGAAGAACATACAAGCAAATGGAGACGCTTGGAGTAGAAATGTCACTTCAGCAATAAATAAAATAAAACGGCATGGCATTTATCCATCATTATGGGACCTTAAGCATTTAAACCCTTAAGCGTGGAGTTTGAAACGCGATCGATGTGGCTTTGCGGAGCACTGTACGAGGTTAGTTGATTAGCGGCGGACCTTTGTGCGCGCGCCGCATCTCCTCCTGAGTTTGCGGTAATTACTGCGCCGGGGCTGAGGTGACGACTGGGAGGCAGGAGGGCAGACGGCAATCAGGCGTCTCCTCCCTAGTTATTGTCTGCTTCTTCCACACCAGCGGCCTTTATCTTTGCTCGTCAGGAGCGGCGACCAACACAAGGCCAGTTATTACCGCAGCAGAGACCATGATAAGATCAAAGGAGACCGGTTGAACATGGAAGATGTAATGACTGTGCTCTTCTAAGCACCGCTGCACGGGTTGTCATGTCATTATCCCCCCGGTAACGCTCAGATTTCTCTCTTCTTCTTTTTTTTCCTTCATCTTTTACAAGTCTTTCGCAGAATGAGGACAGTCTCCAATTATTTTGATGTGGGGGGGAGAGAGAAAAAAAATTACCCACGCTCATGTTTTACTGAACAGAAATGCTTCTTCTTTCTCCTCACCTTTTTAGCGATGTTGGTGTTTTACTTTGGAGCAGCTTTCTCCCTTCTTTGCTTCCTTTCCTCCTCTCCTCTCCTCTCCTCCCTCTCTCCCCAACACATAAAATATTCTGCTTCATTTGTGCCAGAAATTTGAACAAGAGCAATTTGTCATGTTGGGAAAAAAGAAGTACTGAAAGCTGCTCATGTACTTCATGATAATTTCATGTGACGGAGGAGGCTGAGGAGAGCAACAGCGTGTCAGTGTGCTGCTGCAGGAGGAGGAGGTCATGCTTTTTCAGCACCTGTATCTAATCCCGCAGACTGTGACTGTGAGTGATAGCGGGACAAAAAGGGTGGGACGGAGGCAGAGGTGGCATGGAGGCTGGCAGAGATAGCAGCTCCTTTTTGAACGAACCTCAGGTGCAGGAGGGAAAATTAACAGTAATTGTCTGCAGCGGTGCCTGCAGCCAATTTGCTGCTTTTGATTTTGGGATTTATTTGGTATAAAACCAGACTAGTCATGTAAGGCTGCACTTCTACAGAGTTTAATTTGAACCAGGTAACCCTCCATTATTACAATTCTGCTAACGGGCCACCTGTTGTCCAGAAAAGTTAATTGGTTCTCAGATGTCTGAAATGTTCAGTTTGGACTTCCTCTGTGGGTCCATTCGTTCCTTCAGCTCCTCGTTCTTCTCGATCTACTCAAGCTTCTACTTCCTGATGTTACTGTCAGTGGAGATCTACCACAACTTTTACTTCTTGTCCACCACCACTATGTCTGATTAGGTCTGGTCCCAAAGGATCTTAGCTCTGCTGTTCCCAACCCCTGTCCGAGACGTTGAACCTAAACTGATGCTCCTGTACACTATTTCAGCCGCCAGCTATTCCTCTTGGTAATCCCACCTTGCCTCCTACACCTTGCATTGTGGATCATTTTATGAAAAGATGGTAAACAACACAGATTATACAAACGGAGGAACTGAGGATGGAGGATGCTCCTTAAACAGAAGAACTTAGTATACCAAAAAGAAGACTTCTACCACAAGTCTACCCAATAAAACACTGAAAAATTAAATCCCCGACCCAATGAACCAAAACACCAACGTACAAAATGAGAGCAGCATTCCCATCTAATGTTGGACAAATTGATGTAAAACCCCAAAGACAGTAACGAGCCAAGTCTGCAGCCAGAAAGATGAACGTCTCACAACACATTAAGCCAAAAACACCCAAAGAGAGGCACAAGGGCAAGCTTTCTAGCACACACACACCAGAATGACAACTTGACAATGCATTTAAACAGATAAAATATTGGTTAGTGTGGCTGGATTGGACCTCAGATTGGGTGTTGGTCCAATCAAACGAGCCGGAGGCAGTGGCTCGACGAATAGGTGCAGAATGTGATTGCAGCCACCGATTCATGGACATAAAAAGGTGCATACAAACCTACATTATGAGACATTTAAACACACCAAAGGGTAAAGACAGACACCTACCTGTGTGGACCTCTTCCATTGCTCCAAGGTCCAGTTCTGACACTCACGTACCCGTTGTAGTCTTTTGATAGCATACATTGATTAGCATGGGTGCTACATAGCCCCAAATGCAGCAAATGTCAATGCATTGTGGAGTTCCAGCACATTTCTACCATAGCCAGCATTAACCGAACCGAACCACACAGGCCAGTATTTGCTCCCCATGTGAACCAATAAGCGTTGGGCACCCATGACCCCGTCACCAGTGCACTTGTTGTCCTTCCTATCACAATAAGGCCCTTTTATGAGTAGGTCAGATTCTTAAACTTGCCCATTTTCCTGCTTTCCACACCCCCACTTCAACTACTGATTACCTGCATGCTGCCTGTACTACACCACTCGACATCTGCGATAAGATAATCAATGTCGTTCACTTTCATGTCGCGGCTCATCTATGTAAATACGGCGTCGCCTCAAGTTTCCAGCAGAATATTGCGGCGCTGCGATACGAGGACGCGCAGCATCGGGATGAAGTGAAGGCGTCAGAAATCAAATTGTTATTCAAAGCAAAGAGGGGCCTTTCTCAGCATCAGACTGTGATTAGACTGAAGGCTTCTAAAGGGGGCAGCGCGTGGCACTCTAAAACACTTTGCAGAAACTGGATCAGCTGCATCCAGAGCACATTCAGACAGAGCAAAAGTGAGCACACAATCAGAAGATCAATACATCAAGTCGAGCGAGTTCACCGAGGGACAGGAAAGCAACTTCATCACAGACACAGAATTTGCAGGATAAAGCGGCTTTCGAGGCTATAATCAGCAAAAGCACTGTCAGACAAAAAATAGGATGTGGAGCATCGTCTAAACCGTTTCTCAGGAGGGAACACAAGGTCAGAGGCTTGGGGTGAGCTAAGTCAGCTGATGGCGGGGGGAAAATAGAAAAAGTTTTATCTTCTGATGAATGTAAGCTTGAGGATTATGGTCGTAACAGGAAGCAGCCAATCAGGAAAGAGAACGATGATACCACAGCATGTCAAACCCACAGACTGAATAAAAGATGGACGTAGCTGCTGTGACGTCACCCGTTGGTTTCTGCACTGAGAAAATGAAGCCAGGGTTTTGCTACTTCCTGGTTGACATCTTGGATTTTTGGAGCTAAAATCGTCAGAGGGGGGCGGAGCCATAGGAGCAGCGATTGGTCAGATGGATTGAGAGGCGGGCCCTCTCTGCCCCGCCCACATTTACCGCCTTCTGCTCGTTTCGTCTGCATCGTCGCTGCCGACTGTCAATCAAGCCAGCCACGCCCCTTGCCCCGCAAAATTATGACGATTTTTTAAAAGTTCAGTATTGATTTATTTTCAGATTGGCCACCTGATCTCTGGATTTGACCATGAAAACTAATAAGAAAAAAATCCTGAGCTTCTTTTCCAATTCCAGTCTATGGGAGCCAGGGCTTTGTGGAGCCAGCAGCTCGCGGACGTAGTGATGTTGCAGGTTTTTGACTTCCGGGTTGGCTTCATTTTTGCTACGTCCATCTTTTATACAGTCTACGGTCAAACCCAACACGGTGGGGGGAATACTGAAGCCTGGGGAGGTTCTGATTTCACCAGAGAGAGGGAACACTTCCTCCTCCAGAGACCTGCTTCACCCTCTGGTTTGTATCCTCGTGCAGAAAGCTTCACACTGCAGCAGGATAACGATGCTTTCCTCCTCCTGAGCTCACACTCCACTGAGCACAGGGCCACTTAAAGACTGAAAAGCCAAACCAGACATTCCTGCAAGACGGTCTCCGGATCGAGTCGACGCATCTTTTCTCATTTATTTAACGTCAATACATCAGCTTCGCTCACGTCTAGTTAATTGAACTTGTCTCGTTTTCATTTTCAGACCACTTTGGAGCTCGGAATCTTGACTTCTCGCATATTTCTGCCTAAAACGACGAGTTGAATGAACGAACAGTCACTAAATTAAGAAACCAAAACCAGCACAAAAGCCCAGGATGCATCATCGTTAGGGAGATAAAGCTCCCCGGAGGCTGTAGTTTGAGAGAAATGACACGGTGGAAAACAGCTGCGTGTCTTTGTTAAATTAACCCGTGCTTGTTTACTTTCATAATAATTAAAAAAACTTCTAACTATGACAAAGGTTCGTGCTGAACTCAGACTTTTAATGTGTTTTCCTGTAACCGAGAGTCAACGTTGAACTGCACAGAAACTTTTTTAGTAAATGTGATTGGAAAGCAAATTTAAATGAACTTTACTGAAATTGTTTTCTGAAGTTCAGTTAATTCAACTCAGCCAGTTTTCCACAAAACATGACGAATTAAGTGCATCATCCGGACATTTCCAAGCTTTACATTTCTAAGGTGAGTGAACTAAAACTTACTTTGTTGTTGACCGCCGTCTGTCTGGTGTGTTTCAGGGTGAAGCTGAAGGACGGCGTGGCCTTTCTGGGAGCCAGAGCCAGCAACCCGGTTGTATGGACGGTGAGCCAGGATGTGAGAAGCGAAGGCCACCGGGTCGTCACCCTGCACTGCCACAGGAAGGAGAACAGCTTCAATCAAAGGTGAGTCCCGCTTCCCCGCTTTAGAACTAATCAGAGCGTGACTGAAATATGAACTTAACACAAAGCAGCAGCTTTATTTCTCAGACAGGTGTCGGTACGGAGTGATTGCAAAAAAAAAAAAAAGAAGTGAGGACGACATGACTCAGCATCTGGACTGTTCATTCTCTGGCGCTGCAGCTTCTCAGCCAGACCGGCGTGTAGTCAATAAAACGTATTGTACAGGGAGCACGGCGTCGGCTTTGCTCGCATTTAAAGGATAACTCTGGTCATTTTCGACATTTTTCTTACTGTCAAGGAATCCCGTTAAAAAAAAAACACCAAAGTCTGACATACCACCGAGCCTCGCAGCGAGTTTTTCAGCCTCCAGTCTGACAGAACCGACACGCTGCTGTTTAATCAGCGTCTCCACGTGCGCTGTTTGTTTTTCCAAATAGAAACTGTCAGATCTCTCTAAATTACTTCTACATGTGTCATCCCATTAAGGACGAGTTATGTGTACTTTACTTCTCTGCAGATTCTTTTAAGACCGGTTTCCCACCTTCTACACATCCATTAATTAGCTTCAAGAGACCTGACACTTGCTGGGGTGATCCGTCACAGCGGGGTTTCTACACACTGTGGTGATGCAAGCAGGAACTTCTTCTTTTTTTTGTTTTTTTTTTTCTCTCCCAAAACTAGCGTTGCAGTCAAAGATAATCCAACATCAAAGCATCTAAAGTTGTTCTACTGATGAGCTGTGATGTCAAAAAGCACATTTCAAAGACAAGAAATAAGCAGACATGGAGGTTTTCAAAAGAATGAAATGAATTCACGGAAACTTGTGTTGACAGTCAGCTCTCAGAACTGGATTCTGAAAAAAGTACGTCTGACTCCAGTGATGCAGCTCTGCTGCGAGAATGGAACAATATGTAATAAAATGGGTGAAACTACAGCATAGCAGGCATTTATTACAAATCTAAGAAACTTCCTTAAAGCCATTTTGTGCATAAAAAGAGC